GCGGTGATTTTACCGGTGTAATCGATGCAAGAGGCGTTGCGTGTCCGCACGCCCTCGCCGCAAGTTTGGGAGCAGGGGGACCAGGGACCCAGGCGCCAGAGCGGGCAGGGGATGTCTCCGCAGGGCTTGATGTCCTCAGGTCTGAGGGCTCTGTCGCAGGTGGAGGAGGTTTGACCCTCCACGTCCCGGCAATCCACCGTCCGCCTCTGCCAGCCGGAGCCGCACGTCTTGGAGCACTCGGACCAGTCGCCCAGGACCCACTGGGAGGTCAGCATCGGTCGGATGACGTTGGCCGACTTCTTCTCTTTGCCTTTCTGCTTGCTGAAAGGGACGTCCTTGGGGATGAAGAAGGTGTACTTGACTTTTGGTGGGAAGATCTCGCTGGCAATGGTCAGCAGCTGGACGGTCAGGGGCTCCGGGAGCTGTCGGAAGCTCTGCAGCCTCTCCAGGGTCGTCATGGAGCCGCTGTATTTCAGGATGGTCCCCTTAATGAGGATGTCCTGCTCCATGGCCGAGATGGCAAAGTCTCCGTTCAGTAGGTACTTGCCCTCCAGGGTCCTCAGGGCCAGGTAATTCCCATCGTGACGGACCCCGCGGTGGCTGCGCTGTTTGATGTCGATGTTGGTAGCTCCGGCGGGGATGGTGACGATGTCGTTGTAGCCATATCTGCAACGGGGCAAAGGGACACGGTTATTTTCCCCGGACTTATTAAGAGGAGACCCATGCAGGGGACTCATGCAGCACTTGGCAAGTGGGATCGTGACTCTGAAGCCATTCCTCTGTAACCCAGAGCGCTCAGGAGCTGGAAATATTGCAGTCGTGTCAGATGTGTGCTCAGCTGGAAGATTTTGCTGAATTACATGCAAAAATGAGCGATGCAATCAAATAAACAGCCCCACGGTTACCAGCCTTGGTGGGAAATTCCCCTTACTCGCTTTCCTTTGAAATGGGTGAAGTGTTTGGGACTAAAAACCTGGCTCTGCCCAGTGATGCTGTCACTGGTGATGATGAAGGATAGCACCAGCTATAGATAGATACAGATACAGAACAGCAGAATAGGAGAGAGTCGGGGCACTGCTGGTGGTGTACACCCAGAGGATACGTACGTTGGCCAGATGTTGCTGCTAAAACCACGTCAGCTAACGGTTAACCCAATAGACATCTCATTGTAGATGACTTGATATCAACTCAAAAGCCTTTCCTAGGAGACAGCAAGTGCTACGGCAGCAAAACCATCCCTACCCACAGGCGGGCATCTCTGCCCCCTGGGCTCATCTTCGGAAGGGTTTCGCAGCCACCACCATGATGCAGAAGAGCTCCCGTTGGAGGCCACGGAGCACATTCCCATGCCGGGGGAGGATTTCCCTGCAAAAGCAGCCAGAGCCCATCCCCGGAGCACCACGGCTCCCAGGACAGCACCGGGAAGGCTTCGGTACTCGAGCCCTCGGCACCCTGTGCTACGGTAATTACTTGCCGCTATAATAAATGCCACCCTGGCGTGAATCATGCCGTGGGGGCGGCAGGATCGTTTTCCATGTATCCCCACAGTTGATGCTGCGGTCAGTAATTAGGTTTAGAGTATTTTGGAACAAAGCCTTTGGGTCAAACTCTGCTCTCAGTCACCCTGGCCTCCCTAAACCTGATCTTAATGGGATCTGTTCTTGGCTGTAGCTACCACGCTAATCTTTCTTTAGTCAACCACAAACAATTCATAGGAGAGTGGAAGCCCCATTTCAGCCGGCTCCCTGGAAGGAAACCATTTAGGAAATCTAATTTGACTGCGTGAGTCACCTCACCACATGGAATTAGACACGTCGGGCTTTTGTTACGATCTTTTCAACAAAAGCCTTAAATTCGGCTCTTTGGCAAAGCAACGAAAATCTTGGGCAAGGGAAGCGGCTGCTTGGATGCCCGTGTCCCAGGACTTAAATTCACCCCTAAGCCCGGGGAAGAGTTATTGAACTATTTATATCCCGCATCAGCCCTTGAAATATCTGTTGGGGAGAGGTGCATATTGTAAACTCCTCAGGGCAGCGGATTTATTTGCAGTGGCATACTGGTGTCAGCACCAGCTATTATTTTAAGATATTAGCTCTGCTTGGCTTGCATAATGGCATCCCAAAATAAACTTAACGTAAGCCCTAGAGTTTGGGGAGAAGACCAGGCTCTTGCAAGCCCACCCGGCTGAGGGTGTTTGCGCGGCTGCAAACCCCGGTTAATGGCACGGAGGGGAAACGAGGTCTGCAGTTAGGTGCGATGCTTCGGGTGCAGAAAGCAAACCGGCTTTACGTGACCTAGGAGGAGTCCTAATATTCCTAACCTAGATTTTTGCAATTAAAAAAAAAAAAAAAAAAGGAGAGTGAGAGGGGAATCTGTTTTTTCTCCCCTCGGCCCATCTCTGCAGACACCTTCGCGCCAGCGCCTTACTTGGATCGGTTGAGCGAGCCGGATATTTTCCTGCAAGTGGAGCCATTGCCGCCGCACACCCCGCACTTGTCCAGCTTCTTGGATGACCCGACTACGTGATCGCAGCCGGCCTTGATGCACTGCCCGTGGACGCAGATGGAGAGGGTCTCCGGTCCGCACAGCGTCCCATCGATCACCTTGGAAATGGGGGAGGCAGAGGAGCAATTAGGGCATTCGATCTGAAATGGGGTAAGGAAAGGCGATTATCATCACCGGATATCTTACTTTGGCCTCAAAGACTTTAAATTCACTCCTCCCCCTGGCTCGGCAAAAGAGCTTGCATCGGTCTCGGGGTGACACTCCCGCGTACTTGGGAACCCACTCCAGGCGATTCCCTTCCAGATCCGTAAAGTTGTAGCTGTTATACTTCTCGCACTGCTGCTCCCGAAAGCTTTTTCCTGAAAGGAAAGGCGAAACGTGACCCAAAACCTGCGTGAAGTTGGCAAGAACCATCGTCCTCGGCCATCGCGGAGATGCAGGAGCGAGCTGAGGATAGCGAGCGTGCAAGCAGAGGAGGGATGGCACACACCTCCCACCCAGCC